AGCGTTAACACACACCACAGACTATCATGCGCATGGAACAAAATTCACCAAAAACAACCGAACAAACAGAACAGTCTCCACGATGATTATAAAAATACTTCGAATCAATCAATCAACCTACCAACTACAGTCGGTTCCAGATCCACGAACACCGCACGGGGAACGTGTTTGCCAGCCCCGGTCTCACTGAAGAACGTGTTGAACGAATCATCTCCGCCACCTATGCTCTTGTCACTAGGCATTTGTCCGTCCGGTTGAATCCCATGTTCCAAACAATACAACTCCCAACACGCATTCCCGATCTGGACTCCGGCCTGACCCACATGGATGGAGATACATTCACGCTGGAACCGAAACAAGTACAGAGGACATAGAAGACCGTAGATTTGGCCAGGGTCCAGCAATGAAAAAATACTTCCCCTCGAGAAGGATTGAATGGGGATCGATGCTGTGTGCAAAACCGACTTACCATCTTATAGAAATGTGTGCTGTGTTGTGTTTAGTCACGGACTAGACAGATTCTTCGCACTGATGAGCAATAGAGACTATCACTCATTCCATCCCAAGTCTTGCTTAAATACCACTCGACTCGACTCGAATGAAGGTCCAGCATCATCCAGTTGGTCGTCATGACAACTGACTGTATTGCAGCATAATAAATACAAACAATACCCGCATCCACGTTTCTATGACTGCTTGATTGATAGGAGTTGCTCATATTTGTAGAGATGATTAGGATTTGTAACGAGTCTGAGCAGTTTGTGGTTTATTCGAAATAATGTGTGCAAACGATTTTCAGGACAACTCATGATGCGTTCATTGTTTTCCAAATTGTCAACCGGTGGACAAAGGCACACAAAATTGTTCAACTGCCGACTCTATGGCCGAATAGTGGTGCAAATGCGACAATGATTTAGTCGAAGGAGCACAGACTGATGAATTCATTCGTGCAAACCAGTGATCATGAATGACTCAGTCTCCTTCTGCCCCCCCCCCCCCCCCCCCCCCACCCCGCCCCCTCAATCGTCGTTGCGCCTAGCCGCACAGTTCGCGCAGTTCTCATCGTCTAATTATCACCGTAATCAGGCTAATGGAAACAGATGTCACTGATACTCGGCTTTCCACTTTGTCATAACCTCTGTGAAAATGATGATGGATAGATGGGTGGAACACACTGACCACGCCAATCTGAATGTTACGCATGAGAAATTCTCAGGTCACGAGGAGGTGGTACGTCTGATTCGGACAAAACTACACGGAACTGAATTTGTAAGGCTATTTCTCGTGCGCATGACGTATTTCATTCGCGGCCAGCTGATTATTTTTCACGTGATTGTCTTGACGGAGTTGTTGCTATTGTTCCTGTTATTGTTTGAAGTGGTTACCAGTATCTGCGCCTTACTCTGACACTGCTAACACAGACAACAAATGTCTGTCTTGATGAAAACGAAGCAGATTCACCAGAGACACAAGGGACATGTAACTTCATGTTGTAATCCGTTTGAAAGCAATAGTCCGTTTAGTCCTGGCACAAAAAAATGACAAAACAATGGCGGATCTTGGTGCGTAAATGTTCGGTTTATATGTATACGCGGATCGTCTCAGATTCACAGTCCAATACAATTCATTAAACGTCAATGCTTTTCCTGTGGAAACATGTAGATTTCGCACCATTCCTCACACTGGACACTATGACTTTTTAACTTCAGGTTAATCCAACACATTTTTTATGCTTTTATCAAAACATCAATGCCCCCATCCTCCGAAGACGAGTTTGATATTAATCCGAACTATAGCTTTTCAAATTCAAGTGAATCCACCGTTTCTTCAAGTGAATCCAACCAATCGCACTCCATTAGAAACCCCGACAAGATGATTGGTGTTTTGGCCGTCAAATGTCACCGATTGGACCGGGTCCGTCTAAACCCCCTCCAGTTCGAATGAACTAATCTCTCGGTAAACAAACAAAAGTACATTTTTCGCGAGTTACCGAGCCAGGTTGATT